GGGGTGCGGAGGGAAGGGGTGGCACGAGGCAGCTGAATGTGGAGTGAGTGGACTTAAATGCTGGGGAGACAAAGGCTGCACCTGGTCCCAGTCCGTCCACACACACAGTCACAATACAGCCCACATCTGTTCCTCTATCCTGTGCTCCCTCCTGACCTCCACCCACACACTCGCAGCGCAGAGATGAACACAGCAACCAAAACGACCACATCCATTTAAATTAATTTCAACAATGCATGTGTGATCACTTGCAATGTCAGTTATCATATCCTAAAAAGTAAACAACAGGTTGAATGACTGTGACATTTCTAAAATAGGAGTTCTTGGCTACTTTGTTCAGTCGATGCTCTCTAGGGAATAACACATTCTTAACTGTTGCTATCAAATATATGTTGTTGTAACAATACAGCTAAAACAAAAAGGCTTGCATTTGTTAAATAGTCATTGAAAATAACATGCATTTGCTTTTGTTAGTTTCAAATTATATTACGAAACAACAAACTTGAGAAACTTTAGGCCCCATTCAAGCAACATTTAAATTAACTTTCAACTGTTACTGCAGTAAAGTGCTTTCTGAAGTTTAAACTAGGTTTTGACAGGAATGAAGAAATTAGTTGTTGATTTAGAGGCGCCAGAGCTGGAGGGGGTGGTGGGGAGTAAAATGGGAGGTAAAGATGGTCGATGGGAGGGAATAACAAGGAGAGAAAATACTGTTTTCATTTGGTTTCGTCAGGAAGACAAGCTTGGTTGTCGGATTCAGAGCCAGGCTGTTTTTCTTGGCTCTCATTACCACCTTCCAGCCCCGTAGACTACATATTTGGATAAAACCCAACGTCAACACTCTGCTCCACACTCTGCTAGGACGGGGAGCAATGGGGAGGTGGCAAGGTTGACAGCGAAGGCAAAGCAAGAGCAAAATATACGGGGACAGAAACGGGAGGAATAGACAACTCTGGGAGACGATAAACAGAGATGAAAATATCGGGGGGCTTTGAAAAAGAAAAAGAAATATTCCTGAGATAAATTCCTCACATGTCCCCATGACAGAGTAATGGTGGGAGAAGCCCTTGCATAACCTTCTCTGTCAGTGAGATAATTACAAAAACACTGCAGCTATCCAGCATGCCACATAGTGCAAAAAGGAACCACAGATGGAAATGTACTTAGTGGCAAGCAGAAAAAAGAAAACGAAAGAAGGGACGGCAAGACAGACAGACGCTGACTATAAAACTAAGAATGAGCAGTAAAAAGAGGTACAGTGATGTGATGATGGAGGGAGAAGAACTTTGGCAGATGTTGGACTTTGAAATGGAACGGGAGTCCACATATATAAATGAGGTCACGCTGCGGGGAGAAGAGCAACTGGACGGGAATGGTAAAAATTCACAAAAATTTACAAGTCAGATGCTTGGAAATTATATTACCAAGGCTAACACTTTTTAATGGAACATTTTGAATTAAAAGCATTGAAATCACAGTCTTTTAACTAGAAACATTGCCAAAATAAAAATATATATTTTGTTAAAATGACTTATAAAATGCTCTGCTGCGTATGACGAGAATACAGTTTTCTTAAAACCACAAAAAAGCAAGTATTTTTTTATCCTCTGCTCCGAGTTCTATCATCTGTCAAATGAACATTTTATACAAAAACACAACCTGTGTCAGAGTTTTAAGTGCAGTTTGAATGCATTGTCCCCCATTTACCTGGAGGTGATTGATGAAGGAGGACAGTTATCCCTAAAGCCGTACTGACACGTCTGAGTAAAAGCCAGCTGAAGGCACCTGTACGCTCAATCTCTTATCAGTCAATTCAATTATCAATTCTGCTTTCAAATCAAAAATCCTCACAGCAGCTTCTTCTTTTGAGAGGACTGTAGATTGCATCTGGTTAAAACATGCTGGTGTAGATTCTCAGTCATGCAAGACATATTTTAAGGAAGGACGTTCAAGTTTTCAGATCTGGTTAAAAACCCATTCTCTCTGTGTGTGTGTGTGTGTGTGTAACTACATTTAGCTTTAGCATTAACTGATAACTAAAACCATCAAACAAAAAAACAGTCCGCTTCAGCATTTAAACTCGGTTTTCAGCTCATTTGATAGATTTCAGGAAACAGCAAAGATGAAGTTGGAGCCAAGTTCCAGAGCTCTTCTGACACAAACAGATGATTATATATAAGTGTGTCTGTCTGGAGGATTAAGACAAGGCTCCTGTATATTATAAACCCAGACAATAAACTTAAACTGAAGCCAAGCAAAATAATGTTTTCCCCAAGTTTATACTAATACAAACACACTCACACACACTGAGCTAGTGAGTTACAGTAGTCCATAAAACATGGTATAAGCCTCTGACATGAGAAAACAAAACTAACACATATTAGACCAGGTGGAACAAGCTTTAAAAGCCCAAAGGACTGGGCTCAGGTCCAACCAGATGTCCTCATCGCCACACGGAAGACAACCAAATTTGAAACATTTTAGCATTTAATTGTCTAGTAGGCAAAGGCTGGAGTCGCAGCATTTCAGTTGGAGACCTCTTTCACGTTTTATATTGTTTGCCAAGCAAGTATAAGGTATTTTTAAATAATAGCATGACGTACATAAAGGCAACAGAAGACGTATTGAAGCAAAACATATTTAAAAAGAGGCATATCAATGAGCACGTAAGCAAAAAAATGGGGGGGGGGGGGGGGTCTCAAAAAAAGAAACCAACAATATAGGAGTAAAACAAAAACAAATGCTTTTTTGGAATGGTTGCGTTCTAGTTTTGGTGATGCAACGAATGAAAGGCAGAGCAGTGGGTAGGGTTCAGAGTACATAAACAAAGCTGTGGGCGAGCTTAGAGCCCAGCTGCATGGAAGAATAGAGCCCAACAACCACTGAGAGAGACAGATAAGTAAAACAAAGAGACCAGCTGTGTTGAAAACAATGTGGAGAATGAGACAGATAACTGCAAAGGATGAGTGTGTTTGTACAGTTGCATGTGTTAAGGTGTTATCACTGCATACTAAGAGCGCTGTGTGTCCTGATAACAAACAGTCACAAAATCATGAAGTGATTTCAGCACCGACAGGAAATTCAATATGATTAAAATGCTGATGAGACTTCAAGTTTTAGATCTCAACCAAATCATCTAAAGCAAAATGTGTGCATGGTATCTGGTGATGAGAGGCAGGGAAGTAAG